TAGTCATCCACGAAAAACTTTGGATGGAGTTAAAAAGAATTTAAGAGTAGTTATATGATAGTTTTAAAATATTTTTGGGAAACCTTTTTGTGTTTTAAATAAACTGGAGGAAAATTATTTCAAAATTTCAATAGACACCTCTTAATTTAATTTAATTTATTTTTTTCCAACCCCTGTACCTTAATTGAAATGCTGTTGCCAAATCCACACAAAATTTAGATAAAAAATTTCTTCCTCTAGCGTAATAATCCAATTCAACTTCGGACATGTATTAATTTTTTATTTTTTATTGAGTAAACGACTGTTTCCACCTGAGGTTTAATGAAATCACAAGTTGATACACTAGTTTTATTTATTCAAGATCCCCACCCTTAAAATAATGCAGTTTCATTTATTTTAACAGTGAAAGGTTAAAATGGTTATTTACCATCTCCAACTCTCCACCAACACCTCCTCCTTCAGCACCTAAGCCTCCATCGTGGCCAGAAGACAACCAACTCCACCTCTTCCTTTTGCCCCACCAACACCATCAATGCCACATCTAGCCCTGCCACCAACTCCAAAGCCTCCACCTTCATCTAAACCACCTCCAACATCTCTTCCCTCCTCCACCACCATCAAAGCCTCCACCTCCACCTCCTCCTCCACCTCCGGCTCCAACCAAATCTCACATTTCCATTGCGCAACATTAGGGAAACCCCTTTCTCTATCTTAAAGAAAAGTTGAAAGGCTTTTTACCAAAAAAAAAAAAAAAAAAAAAAGAACTTTGCCTCCCTTTTTTTCATGATCTTCCAATTGGAATTTTGCAAAAAATAAATAAATCACACTCTCAAACAAACAAATCAAAAATCAAATTCAACCAAACCCCATTTAATCACACAACCAACTTAATCAAACTCTGATTCAATAAAAAACCAAAGCAACACGACTGCAGGTGGCGTGCGACAGGCGACGCAGCCAGATGGTGTCGGGGTTTTGCCGGGGATGGCAAGGGGAAGCAGCTGGTGATGTTAGGTGGGGCAGTCAGCGTCGGGGGCTGCCAGGTGGTCACGTGCTGGTTGGAGGCGACCACTTGGCCTGAGGCACCTCCACGACGCCTATGACTTTCACACTGTGATCCGACCGTTTAGGCTTTAGTCATCATCTAGGGACCCTCGCCGTTGTTCTCCAATGTCGGGAATGGCCAAAGTGGCCTGAGAGCTTGCGGCGGCACTAGGGAGCAGGAATCAGGAAGATGAAGGGTTTACTTTTTTTTTTTTTTTTTTTTTTTTTGGGTTTTATGATTTTTATTAGATTTGGCATTTTTACTGTTAAAGTAAAGGGCCATTATGGTAATTTCATAAATTATTATGGGTATATATAATAAATTATGGGGGCATTAATTCTTGGTTTTTTATATATTCACTCAATTTTTTATTGCTAAATAATCAAAAGGCAAAGGTCTAAGGACAATTCAGTAATTATAATCTATTCACATGTGTCAGAACCTAACTGCGGTTAACAGTGTTACTTTAAACGTAATAATCTAGAATAAATGAAACCAACAGTACAAATAGCCCATTAGGGATGGGCGCGGGTCGGGGTGGGGCCGGGGACCCCATTTCCCATCCTCGTTACCCACTCCCATGACCGTCCTCATGGGCGAGGATTTTTCTCATGACTGTCCCTGGCCCGTGGGGATGGAATCACTCCCATCCCCGTCCTGATGAACGAGGCTTCGCGGGGGATTTCCCCCGAATGAGGATTTTTTGTGCGGGGATTTTTGCCTTGTGTAGATAAAAACTTTTCGCATGTTCTCATGACAATGATATTAAATTATTTTAATTGTGAGAAACTAGCACGTTAGTAGGTACTATATTTGACCGCTTAATTTTAGTAGTTAATTCATTAAAAAGGTTAAATTTAAGGTAAGAAAATATAAAATCAACAATTTCTTGTAAAATTTAAATTAAGATTTAAAAAGCAATACATAATTACCACCATAAACTAATTTAATTGTTACTAAGTTAGTGATACCTTTTCTATATAGTATTAAATAAAGGAATTTAGATTCCACATTATGATGTTTTATGTTGCTGAGGCATTGTAATGTTCTACTGAAATAGTCTCATCTACTAAAATTCATAAAATAAATACTTGAAAGAAAATTTCGCTGAGAATTGATATGAATATGGTGAATAACAAAAATTTCTTGGCAAAAATTGAAATATGCTCATGGATTTCAAAGCAATAAAAAATAAACATCTTTCAAGCTACAACATAAACCTCATAATATACTCAAATCATCTATTGCAACATAAACCTCATAATATATTGGTTTGATAAATTATAATAATCTAATCAAACAATTTTTTGGGCCATGTATTATTATTTTGTGAAATTCACAAAGTAATAATACACATATTTAATTATTAGACTCCTTCGTTTAAATTATTTTTTCTATAAATTTAATACAAACATTAGAAAGTATTATAAAAGTAAATATCATAAATTTTGATACATTACTTAAAACCATGACTTAAACTTTAATTTTATATACAATCTCGCAAAGAGAACAAAAAAAAAACCTTAAATTTATCAAGAAAGTAGGGCGGGGCGAGCAGGGCTTCACGTGGACGGGTGGGTCGGGTCGGGGATTGCACTATCCTCTCCCTCGGCCTGTCCCCGAGTGCGAAGATTTTTCTAAGGACCATCCTCGCCCCATCCCAAATTTTTCAGGATTTCCCTGCCCCATTCAGCCGGATCCCCGCAGGCCGGCAAACGCCCATCTCTACAGTGCCCATTTTGCTAAACCTCCGGTGGGAACATGTTGTTTACTCTTTTTTTGTTTTGAAATCTAATGAAATTTCCTAATTTTGGGAACTTTTAAATAGTCCAAAATCCAAATAAAAAAAGGTGATTTATTATTATTATTATTTTTTTAACTAAACACAGTCTCAACTTCATCGGAAACATGTTTCAACGAAATTGAAGTCTTGAATCTTGNGAGAGCTCGAGTAATCAAAACCTCTATTGGTTGGGCTTTCAACTGTTCTTTTATTTGTTTGTCAAGCATTAAATCGGTTGCTAGAGCCTGTTAGAAGCTTGGAGAAAGAGATTTACAGCAATAGATCTAGAAATCATTCACTCATTGACATTGAACAAATTTAAAAAATCTTTTATTGTCAATTAGTAGCTTTCTTTCATTATTTATACAAGCTGTAACGCCTAATTCATTGAGAAAAGCTAAAAAAAATTACGAATTCATACATTATAACTTATATATTACATTGAATCATGTTTGATGGTTTGCTTTTCTTTAAATACACAAAACCTTAGTCATCCACGAAAAACTTTGGATGGAGTTAAAAAGAATTTAAGAGTAGCTATATGATAGTTTTAAAATATTATTGGGAAACCTTTTTGTATTTTAAATAAACTGGAGGAAAATTATTCAAAATTTCAATAGACACCTCTTAATTTAATTTAATTTTTTCAACCCCTATACCTTAATTGAAACGGTGTTGCCAAATCAACACAAAATTTAGATAAACAATTTCTTCCTCTACGTAATAATCCAATTCAACTTCGGACATGTATTAATTTTTTATTTTTTATTGAGTAAACGACGTGTTCCCACCCGAGGTTTAATGAAATGGCAAGTTGGTACACCTGGTTTTATTTATTCCAGATCCCCACCCTTAAGTAATGTCGTTTCATTTATTTTAACAGCGAAAGCTTAAAATGGTTATTTACCACCTCCACCCCTACACTAAGACCTCCTCCTTCAAAACCTAAGCCTCCATCGTGGCTAGAAGACAACCAAGTCTACCTCTTCCTTCTGCTCCACCACCACCATCAATACCACCTCTAGCCCTGCCACTAACTCCAAAGCCTCCATCTTCATCTAAACCACCTCCAACATCTCTTCCCTCCTCCACCTCCACCTCCGGCTCCAGCCAAATCTCACATTTCCACTATGCAACATCAGGGAAACACCTTTCCCGATCTTAAAGAAAAGCCGAAAGGCTTTTTACCAAAAAAAAAAAAAAAAAAAAAAAAAAAAAAAAAAAACCCTTGCCTCCCCTTTTTTCGCGATCTTCAAATTGGAATTTTGCAAAAAATAAATAAATCACACTCCCAAACAAACAAATCAAAAATCAAATTCAACCAAACCCCATTTAATCACACAACCAACTTAATCAAACTCTAATTCAATAAAAAACCAAAGCAATGCGACTGTAGGTGGTGTGCGATAGGCGGCGTAGCCAGATGGTGTCAAGGTTTTGGCGAGGATGGCAAGGAGAAGCAGCTGGTGGTGTTAGGTGGGGCGGTTAGCGTCGGGGGCTGGCCAAGTGGTTACACGCTGGCTGGAGGCGACCATTTGGCCCGAGGCACCTCGACGACGCCTACGACTTTCATGCTATGATCGGATCGTTCAGGCTTTAGTCATCATCCAGGGACCCTTAGCTTTGTTCTCCAGTGTCGAGAATGGCCAAAGTGGCCTGAGAGCTTACGACGACACTAGGGAGTAGGAAGATAAAGGGTTTACTTATTTTTTTTTTTTTTTATGGGTTTTATGATTTTTATTAGATTTGACATTTTTACAGTTAAAGTAAAGGGGCACTATGGTGATTTCATAAATTTATTAAATTTATTAGGGGTATATATAATAAATTATGGGGGCATTAATTCTTGGTTTTTTACCCGTTCACTCAATTTTTTATTGCTAAATAATCAAAAGGCCAAGGTCCAAGGATAATTCAGTAATTATAATCTATACACATGTGTCAGAACCCAACTGCGGTTAACGGTGTTACTTTAAACGTAATAATCTAGAATAAATGAAACCAACAATACAAACTGCCCATTTTCTAAACCTCGGGTGGGAACATGTTGTTTACTTTTTTTTATTTTGAAATCTAATGAAATTTCCTAATTTTAGGAACTTTTAAATAGTCCAAAATCGAAATAAAAAAAGGTGATTTTTTTATTTTTCCTAAACACAAACTCAACTGCATCGGAAACATGTTTCAACGAAATTGAAGTCTTGAATCTTTGATTCTGGAAACTCAATTTCCAACAGTAACTAACATAAAAATATCCAGTTAGGGTTCTAGCTGACTCTCCTCTTCAAAATCTCAATTCCCCTTGAATCCAAATCACTGATGAGCAAGGCGGAGAAGCGACGCCACCACCACCACCCATCTCCCCAACCCACTAAAAAACTTCACTCAGCTTTCCCTTCTACGCCCCCAAAGCGTCCCATTTTCAACTCACACCTTCAAGTCCCAAACTTGCCCCCCCAAATCAGACACCTCTGTGATATTATTTCAAGCACCCCCTCCACTTCCGTAGAAAAAATCCTTGACGAAACTGACCTCCGTGTTTCTCAAGAAACCGTCGAACAAGTCCTGAAACTCTCCTATGCCCACCCTGGTCCCGCTGTCAAGTTCTTTCGCTGGTCAGGTTACCAATTGAATGACAAACATAGCCCTTACGCTTGGAATCTTGTTGTTGACTTGTTGGGTAAGAACTCACTCTTTGATGCCATGTGGGATGCTATTAAGTCTATGAACAAAGAGGGTTTACTTTCTTTAGCTACTTTTGCTTCTGTTTTTAGTAGTTATGTTATTGCTGGTAATGTTAGAGATGCAATTATGACTTTTGAGGTTATGGAACAGTATGGTTGTAAGCAAGATATTATTGCCTTGAATTCGTTGTTGAGTGCTATTTGTAGAGATGGGGAAACTATCGATGCTGTTGAGTTCTTGCGTGTCGCTAAAGGTAGGATTAGGCCAGATGCTGATACTTATGCGATATTGTTAGAGGGGTGGGAGAATCAAGGGGATGTGGTTAATGCTAGACAGACTTTTACAGAAATGGTGGTTGAGATTGGGTGGGATCCGGCCAATGTGCCTGCATATGGTTCATTTTTGTGTACTTTGTTAAAGGGTCGTGATGGGATTTATGAGGCAATCAATTCTTTTAAGACATTGGCAGACAGGAGGTGTTATCCGGGGATGAAGTTTTTCAAGGTTGCACTAGAGAAGTGCCTTAAAAATCATGATGTTAGAGGAGGTGAGTTAGTTTGGGAGGCAATGATAGGATTAGGACGGATTGGTCTTAGACCTGATACTCTAATTTATAATTCAATGATGACTTTATATTGTTATTCTAATGATATTGGTGCAGCAATAAAGTTGTTGGATGAAATGGTTTACAATGGGGCATTTCCAGATATGCAAACGTATAATGTACTGTTTCAGTTCTTGATTAAGTGTCGGAAGTTAAGGGAGGCTTCAGGGTTATTCAATGAGATGGTTAAAAACGAGTGTGTTCTGAATCAGGAAAACTGCTGTGCTGCCATTAGGATTTATATGGATTCTGGGGACCCTTATATAGCTATAAAATTTTGGAAATACATGATGGAAAATTACCATTCTGATTTATCTGAGACTGGTAATTTGTTTGTTGTTGGGCTTTGTGATATGGATATGCATCCAGAAGCAGTTAAGTATGCCAAGGGTATGATTGAAAAAGGGATCCAGTTGACACCTTCGTCATTGTTGAAGTTGAAACAGTGCCTTGCCAAGGCAAGAAAGGTACTTGTGTATGAAGAACTTTCAAGAAAGTGTCAAAGTGCAAACCTCAGTAGGTAGGTTAGACATTTTTCTTTTCCTTATATGTTAATAGCTGTGCTTATGTTTTAACCTTAACATTTTTGGTTTAGTAAGAAAAAATTCTGATATACAATTGAATAACTGGTTACTCTTTTCTTCTATAATTTGAAATACATTTGTAATATTTAGAGGAGCGAGCAATATCAATTTCTTTTTTGGGCTGAGAAGTGAATAGGTTTGTTTTTCCCATTTTCTTGTTGTATCTTAATTTCTAATTTACGTTTGAGAAGTGGTACGAAGGTGTTCAACATTTTGCTCTTGAACTCAATTCTATGTAGTCATATAAAGAAAAAAAAAAGGAAGGGAATTGTTTAACATTCCAGATAACTCTTATATTATAAACAAACCAAATATGGTGAGTGATGCTTTTCTTGTATTAATCTTGTAATTAGGGGCATTTTTTTACACAATTACATAAATGCACTTAATCAATTGCTTTTTGTTTAATGTCTAGCGTTATACTTACTTTTATTGCTATGTTAATTGGCTTTTTACCTACCATATTAGCTTGCTTCTTCCTGTGCTTTAATTATTTTATTACTTTAATCTTTTATGAGCGTGCAAGTTGGTTTTATAAATCTTAGATTCTGACATGACAGTTTTGTATTGATTCGTTTTTTAAAAGAAGTTTTGTTGATAAATGTAAACATTGTTGTGCGCATTGCTCTTAGGGTGTCTTACAGTAAACAACCTCCATTATAGAGGCACTTGCATTGTTTAAATTAGTAATTAATTGGAGATATCAGTCTAAGGATTATGAATACTTTTGTTCATTGGAGCAAAATTTTAATTTCTGAAGTTTTGGCGTGTAAGGATTAGTTTAATGTAGTTGAGTCTAAATTGATATGTTAGCTTTATTAACTTAATTAAAATTTTCTTGTATACTATTCTTATTTTCTGTCATTTCAGCATATAACGAGAAGTATGAATTAAGTCTTTAAATAATCGTTCTGTGCTCTGGATTGTTTTGTGGCTTTTTGAGAGTAGTTTTCTTGTTCTAGTTTTTTGAGTTGCTTTTCTACTATTAACTATTTCTTGTTGAAATTGATGTGAGTGTTACTGATCCCAACTAATTAGTTCAGAATTTTCAAGTTTTCAACATCAAGAAGTTTCTTTTGAGACCTTAATCAAATTATAGATTCTACATCCTTTTATCTACACATCTAAATTCTGAAATCTCCTGTTTTAGCCATTCAGCGACAATTTTCCCAGGATAGTGCATAATAGATAATAAGGATGAAAAATTTCAAGATCATAAGTATGTGGTTCTGAGGAAGAGAGGATGGATAGAATAGCTTGATGTAGTGAAATTATTCCACTAAGGTTCTATAGAGCTTAACCATATAACCATAGGAGCTTGTTTGGGAAGGTTGAATCTCTTCAAAGATCTGAAGGCTTTGTACACTATTACAACAAAGTATCTTTTATGTAATTTTATATTTTAGCCGAATTTTGAGCATTTGTTTCAAAGAGTGAGCTTCCAGTGAAGCTTCATCGGGTCAGATGATTCCTAAATCTCTGCCCGTGTTAGAAGTTGACTCCGACTCAATCTCATAAATCCTTAATTGTAAGCCTTGGTCTTTCTTATAGAAACCAGGCTGTTATGATGATTAAGGAAATTTTTTATTCATTTTTTTCCTTATAATCGTCACCTTCTTGTTAACTTGGAGTTGTGCTTGTCCATTAACTGTTTAATCTTTTCTTTCAAGAGATTTTCTATCAAACTTGTAGGAGTCATAGCCCTACTGGACAGGGGTTGCAACTTTTGAAGTTTTTATCCCCGGCCTTCTTGACAGCTTTCTACTTAAATGTTGGATTAAATGAATTTTTATATCCTAGTGTTAGAAATTAGGTTGTGTAAAAATGTATCATCCAACAATGTGGCCTTTTGCAAAAATGTTTTCTTGTTTGGTGGTGTGTATTTGTATTTTTGTTTTTTAATTTTTATATGTATCATCTCTGATAATCCCAAATTGTAAGATATCTGTGGCATATTTATTTTTCTTCTATGTGAATTTTGTGAAGGAATGTGATGAGGAGAATTTGAATGCAGCATAGGTTTTGAAAAGGTTGTCTGGATCATGTGCTCTAACTAAATTGGGTATGGCTAGGATATCACTTATTAAATTAATGTATCCTTAAATTGTGGTTCAATCAAGTTTCACTTATTAAGAAACTTAACATTCACATAAATATCAATAAGATGGGTCATGCCATGCCATGGTAAATTTAGAAAAGAAATCGGTCCACATATAGGTCGAGTTCAACTGGGTTTTATTCAGAGAGAGTGAAAATAAAACACATGTAAAGATTATCTCAGGGGGTAAATAACAATTCAGGGTATATACTATATAGTATATAATACTTCTCTGGAAGAATAATGTTACACCTACAATTTCTTCTCACAATTTTGACGTGACAGTTCACAATTGGTTGATTGTAATTTACCAAGTGAGATTTATTACGAATTGATTAATTGTGAGCTGTCACGTAGGGGTTATTAGAGAAAGTTTGCGAGAAGAGGTTGTAGGTGTAGTATTTTCCGGTTCAAGATCATCCATGCTCCATGTTTCACTATGCCAAAAGATTTTAAATGAAATATATAATAAAGTATAAGCATATCAGCGTCTGCTGGAATAGCTCAGTTGGTTAGAGCGTGTGGCTGTTAACCACAAGGTCGGAGGTTCAAGCCCTCCTTCTAGCGACCGGATTATTTTCTTTTTCTGGGCCCAAATTAAGGCTTTTCAGCCCATAGAAAAAAAAAGAAAACATATCGTGAGCGACAGGATTCGAACCTGCGCGGGGAGAGCCCACATGATTTCTAGTCATGCCCGGTAACCACTCCGGCACGCCAGCTCTTGCAGTGGCCCACTACGAGTGGCATGAATATGATAGTTTTGTTGTTATGTATTGAAAATTTATATAATATGTAGTTATATTATTAGCAGATCCTCGTTATAATTTGATAGAGTAAATTATTTTTGTATAATATGATGTGATTGATTAATTTAAAATTAAAATTAAATTTTTATTCAATTATATCATATCATGTTACATAATATCATATGAGAAATATTGTATAAAAATGATGTATATGTAGTATTATTCAATTTCATAATCAATCCACTAAATATAAATAACCTTGTAATGTTGAAAAAAAATTATAATTTGTGTGATGAGGTGGCACTTGATTTTGTGGACTGTTTGCTGATGTGGAGTCAAAGCTGGTATGTTTTGGTCAGAGAGTATTTAAAGGAGTAGAAAAGGACTTTTGTGGCATTTTGCTCGTAGAACTAATCTCATTCGCTTCACAGTTCTCGCGTGTTCTCTCTTGATTACAGAGAGAGAAATTCAGTTGCAATGGAGATTGAGGTGGAGCCTTTGGAGACGCAAGATGAATAAAACGGTGTGGTGAGATTTTGGAATCTTGGTTGTTACACAGCTGTCCTCCTCTGTTCTTGTATAAATGTTCTCTAATTTCTTGTATTTTCACATGTGAGAGGTGAGGAAAAGGGTGCTTACGGGTGATTCAGAGAGGGGTTTTCCTGGGGTTCTTCATGTATACTGGGAAAGTGCAAAAACTCTGTAAGATTATCTTCATAGTGCTATTTCTTTGCTGCCCTGAAGAGTGGATGTAGGTAATCAATTTGATTACTGAACCACTATAAATTCTCTGTGTCTTTTCTTTACTTTTATGCTTTATTTTCATGTTTCCTTATTTTCATGTTGTGTTTGATTTGATGATTATAAATCTGGGATTTCTTGTTCTAGAATAGTCTTTAAGTTTCAACAATTTGTTTTTTAGACTATAATCTATTAACCAGTTCTTTGAAATTTCATTGCTAAAATAAACTAAAACCTAAAGAAACTGTTGCCCTTTTTCTTGAAATCGTAGAAAAAATANTGAAGGAATGTGATGAGGAGAATTTGAATGCAGCATAGGTTTTGAAAAGGTTGTCTGGATCATGTGCTCTAACTAAATTGGGTATGGCTAGGATATCACTTATTAAATTAATGTGGTTCAATCAAGTTTCACTTATTAAGAAACTTAACATTCACATAAATATCAATAAGATGGGTCGTGCCATGCCATGGTAAATTTAGAAAAGAGATCAGTCCACATATAGGTCGAGTTCAACTGGGTTTTACTGAGAGAGAGTGAAAATAAAACACATGTAAAGATTATCTCAGGGGGTAAATAACAATTCAGGGTATATACTATATAGTATATAATACTTCTCTGGAAGAATAATGTTACACCTACAATTTCTTCTCACAATTTTGACGTGACAGTTCACAATTGGTTGATTGTAATTTACCAAGTGAGATTTATTACGAATTGATTAATTGTGAGCTGTCACGTAGGGGTTATTAGAGAAAGTTTGCGAGAAGAGGTTGTAGGTGTAGTATTTTCCGGTTCAAGATCATCCATGCTCCATGTTTCACTATGCCAAAAGATTTTAAATGAAATATATAATAAAGTATAAGCATATCAGCGTCTGCTGGAATAGCTCAGTTGGTTAGAGCGTGTGGCTGTTAACCACAAGGTCGGAGGTTCAAGCCCTCCTTCTAGCGACCGGATTATTTTCTTTTTCTGGGCCCAAATTAAGGCTTTTCAGCCCATAGAAAAAAAAAGAAAACATATCGTGAGCGACAGGATTCGAACCTGCGCGGGGAGAGCCCACATGATTTCTAGTCATGCCCGGTAACCACTCCGGCACGCCAGCTCTTGCAGTGGCCCACTACGAGTGGCATGAATATGATAGTTTTGTTGTTATGTATTGAAAATTTATATAATATGTAGTTATATTATTAGCAGATCCTCGTTATAATTTGATAGAGTAAATTATTTTTGTATAATATGATGTGATTGATTAATTTAAAATTAAAATTAAATTTTTATTCAATTATATCATATCATGTTACATAATATCATATGAGAAATATTGTATAAAAATGATGTATATGTAGTATTATTCAATTTCATAATCAATCCACTAAATATAAATAACCTTGTAATGTTGAAAAAAAATTATAATTTGTGTGATGAGGTGGCACTTGATTTTGTGGACTGTTTGCTGATGTGGAGTCAAAGCTGGTATGTTTTGGTCAGAGAGTATTTAAAGGAGTAGAAAAGGACTTTTGTGGCATTTTGCTCGTAGAACTAATCTCATTCGCTTCACAGTTCTCGCGTGTTCTCTCTTGATTACAGAGAGAGAAATTCAGTTGCAATGGAGATTGAGGTGGAGCCTTTGGAGACGCAAGATGAATGAAACGGTGTGGTGAGATTTTGGAATCTTGGTTGTTACACAGCTGTCCTCCTCTGTTCTTGTATAAATGTTCTCTAATTTCTTGTATTTTCACATGTGAGAGGTGAGGAAAAGGGTGCTTACGGGTGATTCAGAGAGGGGTTTTCCTGGGGTTCTTCATGTATACTGGGAAAGTGCAAAAACTCTGTAAGATTATCTTCATAGTGCTATTTCTTTGCTGCCCTGAAGAGTGGATGTAGGTAATCAATTTGATTACTGAACCACTATAAATTCTCTGTGTCTTTTCTTTACTTTTATGCTTTATTTTCATGTTTCCTTATTGATTGTTTTGTTTGATTCGATGATTATAAATCTGGGATTTCTTGTTCTAGAATAGTCTTTAAGTTTCAACAATTTGTTTTTTAGACTATAATCTATTAACCAGTTCTTTGAAATTTCATTGCTAAAATAAACTAAAACCTAAAGAAACTGTTGCCCTTTTTCTTGAAATCGTAGAAAAAATATTCGCCTGACGATTGAATTTGTACATTAACACACAGATTTACCCGGTTTTTATTTTTCTGTTTTGGAACATCACATGTTACATTAACACACATATTTACCCACCTGAAGATTTGAATTTGTACTTCGTAGAAGCCCCAAATAATTCTGAACCCAGATCTCTAGAAATGGACTACAAATCCAAGAATCTCGTGGCAGAGAGGAAGCGGCGGAAGAAGCTCGGTGATAGACTCTTGAATCTGCGAGCATTAGTCCCAAGAATTACAAACGTATGGAATCGCAGCCCATGCCCAAAACTTAATAATAAGTAAATAAATTTAATTTCATATTCTAAGTATGGTGTTTTTCTTGTTTATAGATGAAAAAGGAGACCATAATTGAGGATGCGATCAATTACATCCAAGAGCTGCAGGAAAATGTCAAGTTTCTTACTGGCAAATTGCAACTTCTGGAAGTAGAACCATTTTCAGAAGAGGAAGCAAACCCAAAAAGAGAAGAGACTAATACTGTAGAGGACATGAAGAAATGTGGTATACAGGTTGAATCACAAACTTAACCCTTTCTTTTTCTTGTCTTGTTTGGCTAAAGAAAATTATTTCAATGAGTCTTGGTCATGTTGATTAATTTCCTCAGGAAAATGTTGAGGTGAGTTACATGAGTGGAAACAAGGTTCAGATTAAAATCATCTTTGAGAAGAAAAGAGGGAAATTCACCAAATTGCTGGAAGCTATAACATCCCGCGGCTTTCAACTCAGTGATACCAGTATGACTTCCTCCAAAGGAGCAACTCTTTTTTCATCCTTTGCAGAGGTAAACAAATTAATTTAGACGTCATCTAATGGCCAGAAGGCCCCCATCTATATTATTATAGTTCTAATAATTTACTTTTCCAAAGTATGCTTCATAAGATAATATAGAATGGTGATAGTTGCATATATTTGATGTCGTTTTAGGTGACTTATGATGGTACGCTTGCAGTTGAGGAAACCAGGAAGTCGCTGCTACAGATCGTCAGAAGCATGTAAACATCAATATTATTCATGATCACTTGATTTAAACATTATAACCCTAATGGAATACTCATATATAAAAATGAAATTTGAATTCAAAGAAACATCAACGGTGGATAGTTCTGCAATTTGATATAATTTATCACATTCAATACAAATTAACATACTAGAAAAAGAGAATATGTGACTGTAGTATGAAAAATATTATCTAATTAAAAATTCCTTAATTATCTAATTCTAATACCCTAATCAATATTTTATATATTTCATGAGTACAAACTCTAAAATTTAGTTAAAAAAAATAAAAAATGAGTGGAAAAATAAAGGAAGTACCAATTTTTAAATCATAAACCTTTATTCAATAAACCCAATTCTATTTTTAAACAATGAAGACGAAATTTACATAGGAACCCAAAAAATCACAAACAGTGTTAATTAAATGGTATTATGTTACACTTCGCGCTTGTACTTGGGCCTCCCTTGAGTCAAAACTTAAAAGGCCCCAAAATATGTATTTAGTAATTAAAATCCGTTGACTTAAAAGGTTCATTCAAAATATGTATTTAATAATTTTATAAATTTAATTGACTTATTTTTCTTGAATTAAGACGAAAAAAAATGTTTAATTCTTTTTAAATAATATCTATAATATTATTTTTTCTCTTGTTAAATATCAATGACCATAAGCTATTACTAAAGGCTAATTCTTTATATTTATACAGTTCCTTTTAGAGAAAATATTATCACTTTAAGATTATTTTTCTAATTAAATGTTAATGAAAGTTTATTTAAAATATTTCTTTTCAAAACTCTAATATTTGGTTCTCTTCTTTTAATTTTTTTTTCTTCAACACATCTTTCCAATATTTTACATAAGATTATCTATTTTAGTTGAAAAATCTAAAAATATTTGAAATATAATGAAATAATATTTATTATTCATTTTTTTAATGAATGATATTCTCTAAATAATAAAAATGATTTGTGTGTGTGTATATATATATATATTAAATTTCGATATAAACTTATATAAAAAAAAAAAAAATCTTTTATTAGATAGAAAAAGATCTAAATTAATTTTTTTTTAACTTAGGCATCAGTTTTCGTTCCCTACTAGTCACAAGAATAAGACATGATATATAACTATTTGATCCATGAAATTCATTCAAGATTAATTTTTATTGATGATCAACTACTAATTATGCATTTATACAGTTCAATTAAAGTTGTATTATTGCATGTTAGAAGCCAACACTATTAGCTTTATGTAAGAAGTTAGACAACATGTGCATAGATATATAGTAGTATTTGATCCATGAAAATCTTATAATTAGAATAATTAATTTGTATTGACGATGATCAACTACTAAAAATGCATTTAAAGTGTACAATTAATTTAAGATGATTTATGTAACAGGCCGCAGCTTTGTAAGAAGTTAGACCCAGGTGATTGCTGTCTTGGTGGCGCAAAACTTGGGTTAAGTGAGCTGAATACGTATCTCTGATAACAAATATTATACTTTATATATTGCGGGCTCTTCAGGAATTCGTAATGCTGCATGGACAGAAATTTGGTGCCCCCAAGATCTGGTAATTAATTTATCAAGTTATTTCAATTTACATGGCTGCTTGAATCTGCATTATACATTTTCTCTTTCTTGTACTTTCAGGTTTAAATAGATGCCATAAAAGCTGTAGGTTGATGTGGCTGATATCAAGAGAGAGGAGAATTTGAAGCAGATGAAGTTGATCTGATTCTCAGGCCCCATAAGCTGCCTGTCAAAAAACATATTAATAACAAGTGTGATTCTCTGGAGAAAAGATGTGCTTATACTAATTGAAAATATAAAACCCCACTTCTTTCACTTACGAAGAACTTCTAGCACATGAATCTTTCAAATTTTTTCTTCTCATACTCACAGTTTTAAGGAAACTGTATACTAGATAGAATAATTCGTTGACAATGTGCAAGATAAAGATACTGAAAATAGTAAACATTTTTGCTTCCAGACTTTTTCTGAGTATACACCCACAATCCAACAAAAGTAAAATGGGCCGTGGCCCATTACTGGAAAAGTAAGCCAGCTGCTTATCAGGCTGATGGTGTCGGGTTTCATTATATCGGGATATACTATATATATTTATTTGTTTTAGATTAATATTACACTTATAATCCAATCTCAACATGATAGTTCGTAATTAGTTTCTGATGAATTTTTTTGTTTGACTAATTACGAACTGTTACGTTTTGGTTGTAAGAAAACGTTTGTAAGAATAGGTTGTGGTCCAATCTTTATTGTTTGTTTTAAATCATAAGTTGTGATTAAAAATTATATGAAAGATTTTGAGAAAATTTCTTCAGCTAACAAGCTTAAGTGATAAATAATTTAACTACTTGATGAGACATTAGGGTAACCAAAATGCCCGTACGGTCATGAATATGAATAGTGTAACAAGCATAATGTAAGCATCTTTACTAGGCATGGTAGACGATGAAGTAATTAATAATGCTCTCTTATGTCTAGTCCAAGTCCTTACAAAAGTTCTAAAGTGGTAACCCAAAAACTTTGCCAACAGAGAGAATAATGAGCAAAAATGAGCGAATTAGAAGACTGTTTGTGCTAACCAAAGAGTAAACTAGTACAAGGAGATAAAATTCAAAAAAAAAATTCGTGAGCGGCAGGATTCGAACCTGCGCGGGCAGAGCCCACATGATTTCTAGTCATGCCCGATAACCACTCCGGCACGCCCACTCGGTGAATTCTTATCATCACTCTTAAATATTTAAACGTTATTTATTATTAACGAGAGTTTCCATGACACCTCCTTAAAAGATGGGAATTATAAAAACCCCTTAACTTTTTTGAAAGTAATAAAAAACCCTTGAAATCCACTTGACGTTAAGACCCTATTACAAAAAGATAATAGGGTTTTTAAAAAATAACCAAATTTTCAGGGGCCTAAAATAGTGTATCAAAATCATGAAGCCCATACCCAGAATAACGACCAAATAGCATTCTATCGAAAATACCACTATATATAAACCTACTTTTCATCTATTTTTTACTATCTTAAAGAAAAAAAGCGCAAACAGAGCCAATTCAATTTTCAAACCCTAAACCCTTCATCAGGATAAAATACAACATCAACCCATAAAAGAAGTGAAACTATCACTTCCATTTTCAATTTTTTTTAGCCACATTTGTGTTTGGAGAAAAAACTCAATCGAAATCATCCGTTTCTTGTGACTGGAGTGAATTGGACACTACAAAATGGGAAAAAAAGATTGTTTTCTAGTACTAGATTACGCGATATATTGTGCATTTAGTCATGTATTTTCCTAAATGTGAGGGTTTAGTGTTCTAGTAAAATGTTAGGATTCGGGTTGATTTTTTATTTTTTGTGATAATTTTTTCAAGTTATAGGTGTTTTGGTTGTTGCTGGTGTGGGTGGTGTTGTGTTTGTTACTAATATAAGTGTATTGGTTGGTTGTGTATGTTGTTGATTTGAGGGATTGCAAGTGATTTGACTCTTAGCTTGATTTTTCCAGTTTGCGTATAAAATCACTCCAACTAGGGGAATTTCATGTGAAGTTCTCCAATTGGCGTAATTTTTAATGTCAACTGGTATAGAAAAATGCCAACCTACAGAAACCGTATACTAATGGGGTAGAAAAATTATACAATCATTCTAAGTTAAGATTATAAAATTGATGAAAGGTAAAGATATAAAGTAAAGATCGATCTTCTTACTTGGATGTAGTGACTTTTCTTGCTTGATATTGTGTTTTTGGTGTGAGATATTGCAAATGAGAGTTTGAAATTGATGGGGTTTGGCTTAAGTATTGGAAGGTTAGGGATGAATGTATAATGGTATTAAATTAAATTAGTTAGTTACATTGGTATAGGCTTCAAGATTTTGGTTAATTATTATATGCCCCAAAATTTTTGGTTATTTTAATTAAAAACCTAAGATAATAGAGGTTCTTTAACGTAGTCAATTACCATTATACCCTTATAAATCATTTTGACAATCAAAATTACTGAAAAACCCTTTAAGAGAAAATGATGGATTTCCCTTTAATTTCACCTTACCAAATTAATTTTTTCTTTCATTTTTATTTTCTTACCAAATTAGTTACATTTTTGCCTTTCTCATGTTCCATTAAAAAGTTCTTAGACATAATTCTTCACCTGCTGAAATTATTTTAGACTCGTGGCATTTGTGCAGGGGACTAATCAAAATATACCCCTAAACCCTAACACTATCAAATTAAGTTAACAGTTCATGGGAATTTTGGGCAATAATTAAAAATAGTAATATCTATTTCTATGTCACTATTTTAAGAACTATTGTAAAAATAAATAAGTTAAAAAAATTAATTACAGTGAGGCCAAGATGTACTAGGTTTGAGTCACAAAAAATTCAAATTTAAGACAGTGGAGGGCAAAGTGGTATTTTCATATTAATTTCCTGTTTCAAGGTAACAAAACTTAGCACTGTTGGGATTCAGGCTGGACGGGTACAATGTGATGATTTATGGTATAATAACCAAGAACTTGAATATTAGCTAAAGGTGAGCGGTAGGTTTTAAATTCCCTTGTCATACCAACAACATTAATAATCCACTAAAATCCACAAATCAACTTTAGGAAACTTTCTAAATAAACAATTCATCTAACTTCAATCAAAAAACAATTAAAAAATAATAAATAAATACTCAGGACCTGCTTTCCATCGCTCAAATTCCAAAAACCCAAAAACCGTTGACTAAACTATTTGTCATGTCGCGGGGTTCGTACAGACGCAGCTGCCAGGCAGTTGAGTGCGTAGCAAGATCGCAAACGCTGGCAACCTTGCCTTGTGGCAGCCTCTTAAGTGTTTGCTTCAAATTTTAGATTTAGGTTACTGTATGAGAAAGAATAAAAAAGAAAAAGAGTGAGTGTTTTCTTCTTTTTCTTTCTCATATATTCATGAGCAATTTGTCCAAATGCCTTCGCCTCTTTTAACTTTGTTGAACTTGAATTATACCATGGTTAATTTATGACAATCGAGGTATTTTTTATATTAATATTTATATTTCATGAGCAATTTATCCAGTTTCTCAAGGTAGAAGATGATAATCCTTTTAATATGTTCAATATTTTAATGCAATTCCAAATAATTCGTTCACATCATGCAGACGAAGATTCGTTTAACGTTAGGATTGAGTAAGAATAAGAATACCATTGCCAAGCCATGAAACAAGCCACTCCAAATAAACATGTGAACTCATTAAATTCAATTTCGATTGCCTCTACTTATTAAGTAACATCTTATATTTTTGGTTTTTTTTTTTAAAAAAAAAAGTTTTTTCAATTATTATCACCGCATAAACAATAAAAATGATTTTTAAAATATGAAATTCAAAACATCCTTAACATATCTTAATTAAACTGATAAGCCACGATGATCGGAGAGGGGTCATAGGCCAAATCCCAAATATTTGGATGCGCTAGTACGTGAAAGAACGTGCATGCATGGTGGATGGGGGCCATTAAGCACCTGAATAACAATACAGGAGGGATTGGGTCGTAGCAGTCGCGAGTCTTACGTACGAATGGGTCTTTAGTTGCGAATGGGTCTTCATTAGTTGCGAGTTTCACGTTACTTGATTTCATGCAGTTATGTCTGTTTACGTGTGTTTGCGTTGGTATTTGCATGTGCTGTTATAGTGAGTTTAGGTCCAATTGTTAGTTTCTAGTTTTCCTTTTGATTCGGTTTGCTTGTACGTGGCCTTGCTTATTAAGTAGCCAACTATGGTATGAAGTATCAAGTACATTTGTTATCCAAACATTGTGGTACTTTCTCACCCGAAGAGAAAACAGTTCACTTTATGTTTTGAATATGTTGGGACCTATAATAAACATCCTTACAATATGAATGGATGGCTTGCAGAGAGAAGTCTCCAATCCCCTTTGAATGAAATTGAGGTTGAAGTTAAATTAATCGGGTCCATGAACAAGAATGGCATCATTTCACATGCCAACATGTGAGATGTAATGCACCAAGAGAAACATTTATTGAATTGTATGCCTAACTTAATTCATCATATAAAACTATATAGGACCACAACTCAATGTCTCGGACCATGTGATGCCCAAATGATTAGACAATAGCCCAATTTATAACCTTTTGACCAATTTTATCGGGCAACAGTTTAGTTGCTTATTCTTATGCCAAGCCTATAATTAGAGATTCTATATATAAATGGAATGGTTAAACGATAATGATCCGCCATATGAGGAACATAATTATCTACTAATCATAAATTGAAATAATTTAAGATGATTAACACATCATGTGGGTTGAGTCAAATAGAAATATTATTTGCTTGTGCATTTCTATCGAAACTATTTATCAACGCCCGATCCCACCACATGCTTGAGATTATTGGGTGTTTCCTAACTCAACTTGGCAAAAAGAATATATTGCAATATATTTATAGGTGAGTATGAAGGTCCATCCCCCAGATAGA